TATATTGTCACGTGTTATTTTTTGTAACATTCAGTTATGAAATGAAATGGAGATTATTTTCTGAATTATCCTTTATGATGGTTGGTAATTATTGGCGACGACGGAGTTGTTGGCTTCCTAGGTATTGGACAAATTTATCGAACAATGAGTTTATTCTGGTTCGGATGCTAGCTAGGGTGGTCCTGAAATCAATGTAGATCACCAGACGTCTCTAAACCTTTGACCAAACACTTCCTAGTCCTCCTTCAAACGCTAATCGTTCCAGTTACTCAGACAATACTGATGGACACCTCCATAATTCTGCTGACGTCCTAGTGCTTGACATTTCGACAAAATTTTGTCCGTATAAGCGACACCAGTGCCATGACTGCAATAATGTTAGAAAGAAAGATGTTTTCACCCGGCAACATACACATAATGGCACTCACAAAGGCTATCCTCGACAAGTCGCCGTTCCCAGTCAGCACCTGGCCGCCAAAAGATTCACTAATGTTCTAACTGTACGTCACCCAGATGGTGCTACGCCTATTTTTCGACCAAAGAGTCCTGTTCCAATCGGTGATCAACTCGTAAAAGCAGAACTAACCCTTACAAACCAAAATATTGAAAAAACAATTTTAAAAACCAAAGACGTGCAAAATAAACAGCTACAAGTGCTTTTCGTGAGAAATGACTCCATCTATATGTCATATGTCTACTAGGCATCGCATAGCTGGTGTCTAGAATGAAATATTATTATAGAACCAAGTTTATCTTATGTCTGGAACAGGTGAAATATATATCCCATTAGAAGTGTGTATATATTATTACTTTACTATTATTGTTCTTTTCGGTTCCTGGTGGAACATAGGGCCTCCACAGCAGAACCCTATTCCATCTTACCTGACTCCACGATTGCCCATAGTCTCTCACCTCCTTCTCATACGATCTCCTCCATCCCGACATCGGACTCGTCGTTTCCCATTCAAAGGCCTGGCCTGTCACACGATGTCACACTCAACGTCCCCCTCATCGTGTGTCCGATCCATCTCTATTTTCTTCACCATATTTCTTGAGCGACAGGTTCTTCATTGCTACCTTAGCAGCGTTTCATACTGAGATAGTTCTCTCGGGGATCATCTGATCTGAGGTAAGGAAAATGTTGCCAAAAAGTGTACACCGTGTTGGAGACGCTTTTCACAATGCATTCGCCAAATTTATAAGTCACATATAGAAGAACTGAAGACTGGTATTGAAAGTTCGAATTTTTTGTTTATGTTTCAGAGTGTAGCTGATTTTTCAAACTGGTTGCAGAGTGATGAAGAGATGTCTTGCCTTTCCTATTCTAATTTTAACATCTTTATCCGTGCTGTCAACTGTAGTCGACATGATGCCGCCTCCTAAACAATTGAAGCAAGTATAGCCTCTTTCAGATTCCTTCCATTGTAAGTGACTAATGCTTGCTCTTATAGTTGATTGGTTATCTTCACCACCTCCATCTTCCCTATATTCGTTTGAATTCCTCTTTAGTGCCCGCCTCTTCTGCCATTTTGTTGGTTTTCATCTATAAGTGTTTGAATTTGTGTGATATTAGACAGAATCTTCTTACCGGCTCAACGTATTCTTATCTTCTCGTTCCCCATTCACAATCATCCGCGTAATCCTGTCAGTCCACCACAATTAGCAATGTCACTGATGGTCTGTTAAATATACATTTGTATATATACATACATATGTATATTTAACAGACCATCAGTGACATTGCTAATTGTGGTGGACTGACAGGATTACGCGGATGATTGTGAATGGGGAACGAGAAGATAAGAATACGTTGAGCCGGTAAGAAGATTCTGTCTAATATCACACAAATTCAAACACTTATAGATGAAAACCAACAAAATGGCAGAAGAGGCGGGCACTAAAGAGGAATTCAAACGAATATAGGGAAGATGGAGGTGGTGAAGATAACCAATCAACTATAAGAGCAAGCATTAGTCACTTACAATGGAAGGAATCTGAAAGAGGCTATACTTGCTTCAATTGTTTAGGAGGCGGCATCATGTCGACTACAGTTGACAGCACGGATAAAGATGTTAAAATTAGAATAGGAAAGGCAAGACATCTCTTCATCACTCTGCAACCAGTTTGAAAAATCAGCTACACTCTGAAACATAAACAAAAAATTCGAACTTTCAATACCAGTCTTCAGTTCTTCTATATGTGACTTATAAATTTGGCGAATGCATTGTGAAAAGCGTCTCCAACACGGTGTACACTTTTTGGCAACATTTTCCTTACCTCAGATCAGATGATCCCCGAGAGAACTATCTCAGTATGAAACGCTGCTAAGGTAGCAATGAAGAACCTGTCGCTCAAGAAATATGGTGAAGAAAATAGAGATGGATCGGACACACGATGAGGGGGACGTTGAGTGTGACATCGTGTGACAGGCCAGGCCTTTGAATGGGAGACGACGAGTCCGATGTCGGGATGGAGGAGATCGTATGAGAAGGAGGTGAGAGACTATGGGCAATCGTGGAGTCAGGTAAGATGGAATAGGGTTCTGCTGTGGAGGCCCTATGTTCCACCAGGAACCGAAAAGAACAATAATAGTAAAGTAATAATATACACACACTTCTAATGGGATATATATTTCACCTGTTCCAGACATAAGATAAACTTGGTTCTATAATAATATTTCATTCTAGACACCAGCTATGCGATGCCTAGTAGACATGTGACATATAGATAGAGTCATTTCTCACGAAAAGCACTTGTAGCTGTTTATTTTGCACGTCTTTGGTTTTTAAAATTGTTTTTTCAATATATTGGTTTGTAAGGGTTAGTTCTGTTTTTACGAGTTGATCGCCGATTGGAACAGGACTCTTTGGTCGAAAAATAGGCGTAGCACCATCTGGGTGACGTACAGTTAGAACATTAGTGAATCTTTTGGCGGCCAGGTGCTGACTGGGAACGGCGACTTGTCGAGGATAGCCTTTGTGAGTGCCATTATGTGTATGTTGCCGGGTGAAAACATCTTTCTTTCCAACATTATTGCAGTCATGGCACTGGTGTCGCTTATACGGACAAAATTTTGTCGAAATGTCAAGCACTAGGACGTCAGCAGAATTATGGAGGTGTCGATCAGTATTGTCTGAGTAACTGGAACGATTAGCGTTTGAAGGAGGACTAGGAAGTGTTTGGTCAAAGGTTTAGAGACGTCTGGTGATCTACATTGATTTCAGGACCACCCTAGCTAGCATCCGAACCAGAATAAACTCATTGTTCGATAAATTTGTCTAATACCTAGGAAGCCAACAACTCCGTCGTCGCCAATAATTACCAACCATCATAAAAGTGTAATTCAGAAAATAATCTCCATTTCATTTCATAACTGAATGTTACAAAAAATAACACGTGACAATATATATGCAGATGTAATGACAACATGTCATGGTTAGGCATAAATTCTGGACAGTTTTTAACAAATCACGTGCATCATAAAATATTATTAACTGGATGATAGATAGATTTGCAGTTGATTTGAAAAGAGTCTGCAAGATGGATTAGCACTATAGAATTTCATATCGATATCTATATGCCGTAATATCCCTGTTATACTGAGAATATCTACTCTCGCTTTCTGGTTGTGATGATACATTAAAGACAACATATTAGTAGTACACTGTAAAACTAAGTGATTATCAATCAGTCCACGGTCAAACTCGTAAAAACAAACCAAACTCTTGAAAATTAATCTAATGCTCGCCAGTGACTTTCTACAGAACAGAGTTTCCTGGAGTTCTAGTGAGAAATCGTGACCAGTGAGGTTCAACCAGTCAAGTGTGAGGATGGTAGAAGTTAGAATTCATAGGCTGGCTGGCTGGCCACTGAATCGAATCCCAGTGATGGCTGAATGGTATATGAGCTAGCTTGCCTTGTAACTGGAAGGTGTTGGGTTCGAACTCTTGCAGTGGGTGTGTGTACTGCCGATGATTCTGAAACTAGGCTGATGAAGAAGCTGTCCTGTACTTCCTGTGGCTGGCTTTCAATGGTTCTCTAACTGATATCAATCATTTCGCGGTCAAACTCGTAAAAAACATTGTAAAACGCTTGAACAGTTCGAGAAAATAGCTACTTAACACTGAACTGAATGTTCACCATATTTATTGTAGGTTAATGAGAAAGTCAAAGACACTGGTGGTGATTTTCTGTCAATTGATGTAAACATTAAGCTTGAAAATCCAAAGTCATTGAAAACGGAAGAGAGAGAGATTTCTTTTACTGAATTGAACACATTAAAAAGAAACTGTTTCTTCGTTCTATACCAAAAATCAGATGACCAGAAACAATAAGAAATAGCGCACTCTCGTTAGTAGCTAAAAACTAACCACTAGGAACCTATTACCCATCAAACATGCTTCAGGAAACAGAGATGAATAAGGTAGACACTGAGACGACCGATGTGTGACATTACATTCCAGGTCAGCTCTCGAGTGGAACCTTGAATAAGAAGCAACAAGTTGGAAGAGAAGAAAGCTTATGGGCAATCGCTGAACCAGGTAAGAAGGATTTCAGAGAACAGGAGTAAATCGAGGTACGCTATTGAGGCCTTAGGTTCTGGTTGGAATTCAGGGTAAACGTAATAATATAATATGTCTTAGTGAATGACTGACTGACCTTGGTAAACTTCTTAGAATATGAAAATAATATAGTCCTCCCACCTGGATGAAGACGCTGACAAAATCCAGGGTCTTCTGAACACTTTAGGGAGCAACCGTCTGAGAGTGTTTGCCATGAGATACACTGGCGTCAATTGTAAGATGATGCTACTGGACTGGATTACATTGACTCTTAGCCTAAAGATAGAGAGTGAAGTAGTAGTGTAACAACAGAAGACAAGGGCTGGCAACATCGTTTTTTTATTTACAGCTTGATTCCACACTGTATTTTTGGTACAAGTATGGAATTTTCAGCATGGATATCGATAGCCCAGGATGTAACAACCGCCCACACACTTACAAAAGTACACGAAGCCTTCCTGACAGGTTAAATATATTACAGTGGATATAATTAAGTGGTAACGATAGATACATTTGGTAAAGTCACCTACCTTATCGTATATTGTTGTGTGTGCCTGTACAACGAAACTCTTCGGTATAAAATCAAAACACAAAGCACAAATTGTGTACCCCATAAATTTACACCATGATTATATTTTATTTAATGAAATGAAGCCAATGGAAATAATAATAGTAATCAAGGTAGTAAACTGAATTACCAACCAGCCAAAGACGAAAAAGAAGGAAAAAAGAGAGCAACAATACAATTCACGTCTACGAATCAAATCCCCGCCAAAAGGAGAATAATTAAAAACCGGTCTTATAAGGAAATATCATTATACAATTCGTAGCATCTTATTATATTCTAATGGGAAATTAATAACGATAACAATATCACGACCAACAACAACACCGACAACAACAGTGAGTGTTGCTCAACGTTAAAGTGTGTGTGTGAAACAGCACACACACACATATATATTGATTTTTCTTCTTTCATGGTATATCAATTTTAAACTCTGAAGGAGATTCAATGAAATCAAATCTAAGACGACTGACTGACTGTACAATAAAAGTTGTAAAACGTTAAGACAGAGATCGTAGAATTCAGTAATATAACTCATTATCAGTAGTACTGCTATTTATATAACAACAACACACTGAAAAGGAACAATAATACAACAAGAGATCTATAAGAAAAAAAAGCCTCAGTTTTTTCAAGAGATGTAAAATCCTATACAAAGAAAAGAGTAGAAATAATAAAAAGAAGTGGACATTATACATCATAACAGCAATTCAAAGCACCGGATGGTGGGTAGTATATATGTATATACATATGTATAAAGCTGGCTTATACATACTACATGATAGCCTATTCGTGCAAATGAGATCTATTTTATATATATAATTATTGATTACGACAAACTCCTTAACCTTAACCAATGAATGACTTAGATATAGGGATGAAGACAGATGGATAGGATGCGCTAAATTTTTCTCGAATATAATTGTATGGAACAGTGGTAATATAACAACAACAACAACAACGACAGACAACAACAATATCTTTGGATTGATGACAAATATTTCGGGGGGAGGGGGGAACAAGATCTCTGGAAAGGAAATCATAAATAATAATAATAAGAAGAAGAAGAACTCTAGCGCGTATCAACAGCCTCGAAAGGCAGGCATTTCTCTTCATCAGCTAGGGTATGCCCATTGCTAAGTATTCCAGAATTAATTTCTTCTGGTAAAGGATAACGTGAAAATAAACTTGCGGCTACACTACCATAGACATCATCGGTTATATGTTCAGGACCTGTCTGATTATTATTACTATTATTATTAATATTGTTATTATTATTATTAGTAGTAGTATTAGTAGTGATATTATTCTCATTTCTAGATATACTGATGATAGTTTTCTCCGGTTCCAAGTGGAGAGTACGCCTACACTCGATTGGAAAGTAGTCTAAATAATAGCAAGCACCATTCCAGATTAATGTTAGCGTTTGAATAATTAACATTGTCACATGAAAAAGATAATTTGACCAGGCTACAACAGCAATCAGTAGGAGAATAGTACTCAGGATTAAATTGAATGCAATCCAACTAATTAAATGCAATCTAAAATAAATAAATAAAACCATAAGAGAAAGGAGTAAACAGTTTTATTTGAACAATAACAAGAAAGAAAACAAAAAATACACTTTTCCGGGAGTAACCAATCCTCTTTCACACACACACACTCTCTCTCTCTCACACACCAATTTCACACACACAGACGCAGACACAAGGTCATGAGTGGTGTCTACCACTATAAAATTAACAGAAACAATAACGAGTGAAATAACACGATAACTAACTAACTAACTAACCGACCAATAGAACTCAATCGAAGTTCTTACTCCTTTTTATTTTCCAGTTGACACGATGTCGTGAAGTATAAACGTATACTTATAATGTGGTAGGAAATCACTAACACCACCATTCTGTCTTCAGGAATCAGATTGTGGCGATGCGACACGGATAATGTGTGCCAATCGAATATTATTCTCATATATTCCTACAATTCAATTAGCCATTAACAACAGAATACTATATATATATATATATATATATATGTTTGAACACATTTTATTTGATGTTGGAGACAGAATAGCTTTCCCATAGGTTATATTACTGCATTAACAACAAAATACTATGTATATTTGAACATCCTGTTTCTTGTCGTTTGATGTAAACTGAAATCACACGCTGTAGGCAATATAAACAGCGAATCGATTAATGAAAAATATACTTTGGCTTCTCTGTTCTGGCCTTCTGTTGTTACAATATGATGAAATCACCTGTCCGTCAATCAACCATCAATTACATGAGCAAAGAAAACCGTCATATTCGCCTTTCAAAATTCTTGAATGTAGATGTTTCAATCAAATTTATTAAGAGAAATAAAAATACCAAGGATAAATGTGAACATTCGCATAATTCATACCAACTGAATGAACAAGTTTTAAACTAAATTATTTTTTAAAAAAATTGCTTTACGTTCCCAATGGAACATAGAACTTCAAGCTAGAGTCTTGAAGTTTCTGTAGCAGTGGTGATTATTTTTACAGGATGAGGTTGCTGGCCTCACAGTAACCCAACCTTCTCTCTTTACCAGTCTTATTACCGGCTTACCAAGGTAAAGGAGTGCGTCGTCGGCCGGAGTTCGAACCCCGGACCACTTCTGGCGTGGTCGGCGAGCACTCTACCGCTGTCCCACCAACGCACAATTTAAACGTTGAACATTAGGCACCAGTAACGATTAATCAACAAATGATCTTGAGAGCACCGATCACATGAAGAAGGCAACTTTTATGCATAAAATAAATATCTTTCAGGAGTTGGTTTGTAGGGAATTGATTTATTTCGAGTTTGATCACGGATTAATATCAGTTAGAGAACCATTGAAAATCATGGAATACTGTCCAAATATATTTGTGTAACTACCTACAAAACTATTGAAAAAAAAATTAATCTGATGCACACTAATGGCTGGCTACAGGACGAAGTTATCTGCAGTTCTAGTGAAAAGTCGTGATCAGAGAGATCCATCCGGTCAGGAGAGAAGACAAATACTCGCCAGCGGTGACATTGCCTGGTACCAGTTGCACTAAAATCACGAATTGGGGTCGGGTCCCAGTGACTAAATTGTCTACGAGCTCTCATTATAATCAGAAGGTCTTGGTTTCAAAATCCGTTGGGCGCGTACTGCAGAAGAGTCCCGGAATGGGACGAAAAAGCTGCCAAATACCCTTAGGTTTTCCAATGGTTCTCTAGCCGATGTCAGTTCATGATGAAAGTTCTGTTACCATAGGAGTATCAATAGATAAGTTAAATCATATTTTATACATATATTCAGGTAAACGGCTGTAAATAACTTTCTTTTGGGATTCGTTAATGGCTCTAATCCTGTTCTTCAAATATTCCCCGAAATCTCTCGATAAGATCCACGAAATCATTAGTGCGGTGAATATATCCCAGGAATGACAATGAGTTTTATCCTTTCCATTCATCTGTGTGTGTGTGTGTGTGTTATAGATCCTGGTTTTACCAATCTAAAGGTAACGGTTATTGAAGTATTTGACTTTCTGTCTGATATTGTTTCGACGAATCCTTTCCTTAATATGGTATTGTACAACCTAATCATTCAAACGTTATTTGGTTTTTATAACCACACTTGTATTTTCTCTTTATTAGGAATTTTTTATCCATATGTATGATAAGACCTCCCAATAAAGAGGTAAATCTTTCCATCTTCCAGGATGCAATATCTTTGCAGTGCTAGTACCACTGAACGACTGGAACGAGACTATTCTCCATTTCAGCAACAGTAGCCCTCACAGCGATGTCAAATCGAGAACCGGGAAGGCGAGAAACACATTCGTCAACCAACTGAAACCAATCTGGAAATCCTCGTCACTCAGCATCAACAACAAAATTCGCTCGGATTTTCAATACAAACAACATCAAGTCAGTCAGTTCTTCTATACGGATCAGAAACATGGCGGGTGGGTCAGAAAGAATATTTCCAACAGCCTGTTGCAGACCACACCTTTATCAGCAACTGTCTTTGCTGGCTCTATACTGAAGATCAGATGGCCGGGCCGGAAAGAATCACCAACAAGAAACTATGGCTGGGAACAAACAAAACAAGAGCCAATCGCCAACCAACAAATATGTAAGAGAAAGTGGAGATGGATTGACACTCGCTGAGGAGGCCGCCACTGGGTGACATCGCGCATCAGGCTATTGCTCGAGTGGAACCAGGCCGAAAGGGAAGCGGCGAGTGGGACGTGTCCAAGGGTGACATTGAGGAGATCGTGTGAAGAGGAGTTGAAAGAATATGGACTAACATGGATGCAGGTGAAAAGTACAGCAGAAGACAGAAGCAAGTGGAGATGTGCAGTTGAAGCCCTATGTTCCACTAGGAACCCAATAATAATAATAATAAATAATAACTTTTCCTTCACGTTTCCAGTGGAACATAGGGCTCCAAGCTAGTGGCTTGAAGTTTCTGTAGCAGTGTTTAATTTTTACAGGATGGGGTTGCTAACCTCATGCCCAACCGTTCCTCTTTACTAGCCTTATTTCTGGCTCAGTGAGGTAAAGGAGTGCGCCGGCCGGTGGTCGAACCCCGCACCATATGCATGGTCGGCGAGCGTCCTAACCGCTATACCACCACTAGGAACCCAAGGGAGCAATAAATAATAATAATAAGTCCTCATAGCGTGTTTTAAAACAGTAATTACAAATATACAAAATCCGGACTAATGGTAAATGGGATCTAGCAAAAAGTGTCCCTACGAAATAGTATAATCACCGGCTTATCTTCCCCTTAAGCTAACTGATCCTCAAACAAATTTCACGACAGTGAACATGTCCATCAACCAACCTACTGAAGCTTTTCATGCTCATCATACCTCCATAGGAACAAATCCATTCCTTGTTAATCAGTCCCACATCTAAGCAATACTGGGAAACTTGGCCTACACTAAATTTCGGATGTAACGGAGTTTCTTTTTTATTCCTTTACTTTCCAACTGCCCAACCTTCCTACTTAACGAGTCTCATTCCTGACTAGGCCAGGTAAAGGAGTGCATCGTTGGTTGAGGATCGAACCCCGAACCGCATGAGGCGTGGTTGGTTAACATTCTACCACTGTGCCACCAACATAATATCAATATGGAGTGGTTCAATGAGTCCTGGCCCTCTTGAAGTGCTTGTAAACAGCAGCAATCCCCTCTCTAAAGGAAAACTGAAGAAAGATATCTCATGGACGTCTTCCAAAAGAATGGATATCCATGGAACTTCATCAAAAGACATATACTCCCAAGCCAACCTACCAAATCAAAGGCCCCCAAGGAAAACACAAAAAAATCACCCTACATTATATAAATGGACATCTCGAAAATTACTGCAAGACTCTTCAAACCTTTAGGAATTGACGCCACACACAAACCAACACAATCACTCCACTCAACTCTGCGTCAATCAAAAGACTCAACAGCGAAAGAACCAACATCATCTACAAAAAAAGTTGCAACGACTACGAAAAACACTACATTGACCAAAGTGGACGTCCCCTTCGTCTTTGTTTCCATGATCATAGACTAGCCGTCAAAAGACATGACATCCACTCCCTCATATCTCTGCATACAGACAACCGCAGACATCAAGTCGACTTGGGCAACGTTCAAATATTAGACAGAGGAAACAACATGAATGCTAGAGAATTTTTAAAAGCCTGGTATTCCAGTGAGTCATCAATCAATAGACACATCAAGATATATAAAATTTACCACTAGATATCAAGGAGATCTCCGACAGAAAGAGTCAAACATTTCAGGTCAAGGAAACAATCATCATCAATACTAATAAAAGTAGTCTAGAGGGTGTCAAAATACACAAAAACAACCAATCACGTTCAAGGTGGTCATCAGGAGAGATGAATAGTAAACTCGTGGAGAAATCTAAAAAGCTCATTTCAACAAATTGAAGTTTGCACTAAAGATGTTGCCTAGTAAGTAGGACAATGAAAGCTTCACAAATAAACTATCCAGGTCAGAGAACACAACCATATGAAAATCACCCACCTGAGCTACAAATTTTCTCCATCAACCTACTGATGTCTTTACTCAACTTCTAGTCAGTGGATCGCAAGTACGCTTTAAAGAGATATGAGCTGATGATGAAACTCTCTAAATAAGAAAAATTGACCAATTCATCCGACGACTTTACTCCCCTCCCTATTCGTAAACTCATAAGCACCACCACAAGGACGATACAGAACGGAACAGTAAGTAAATTGCTGCAGTGTAACAGCTATTCAATGCCATCATCCCCAGGGCTTTATTCAATACGTTTAGAAGCTATTGAAATGAACAAATATACATCCAGTTACGATTACTATCACTTCCTGATAAATACTTGACTCAACCCTATGAAAAATAACGTACCCTATATAGGTGTATTATATCCACTACTAGAAATACCACACAGTCTACAGCTAAGCCTAAATATTTGACTGACTTTTGTAAATATTACAAATAAAATGTAAACAAAATCCACTAAGAAATATA